AATTATATAAAATAATAAAAAACGTATTTATATCATATAAGTATAACTTTATATTACCGAAACTAATAAATAAATTATTTGGCTTTTTTTTTTAAAAATTGTATCACATTAGTAATGATATCTTTTCACCTTCATCAGTTCGAGACGATACAAAATATGGGACGTTGCCAAGTCGAGTAAAGCTATGCAGTAGGTCAATTTTTTCGCTTATGTGCATGGGAGGCGAGGCAAAAGAGCGTAGTGCTGGTCAACTAATTCTTACAGTACAAGTGGGTATCTTATATAGGGAAATCGTATTCGTAGGTTGAGAACTACTGGTCTTTGGGAACGTCCTTAAGTAATTTAAAAAGTATTAACAGATATCTAATGATACATTCAGCTTATCCATCACTCAAACTGCTTGGATCATGGACCAGAGATCTTGTCGCAAGAGTAGAACATTTTGCGAAGTGGGCAGAAACAACACACCCCCCTCTTCTTTTCTGGCTGGCTGCCTACACCTTTCCAACTGGATTTTTGACTGCTGTTCTGCAGGTTAATATCATCAATTGCTATTTACATTCAAACGAGTCAGGGTTCACACAGCGCACCTTAAAAGGAATGTAATGAGTTAATTACTTTTGTAATACAATAAGTTTTGATGTCTCTTAGGATTAAATTGTTGAAATTCGTCGAAGAGATAGTGAAGGCATAGTCGTAGAACATAGAATGGGAAATTTTCAGCAGCCTAATCCGACTTTAACTAATCAATCCATAGCTTCACTTTTTATTTAACCTTTTGTGAACAGTAATCTAATCTAGGTCTACCTCTACTCCTCTTAACTCCTGTTTTTGCTTCTAGTATGTCTCTAAATAGCCATTCATGCCTGAGAAGCTGTCCTACCAACTTATCTGGCCTATTTATTATTAACTTCTGTAGACTTCCATTCGCTTGAAACACCATATTTCGAACGCTTCTAACCTTTTCTTTTCCGTCGCGGCCACCGTCCATGTTTCGCACCCGTAGAGTGCCGCGCTCCAGACATACTTACCAAAAGTTTCCTCTTCTTCAATATTATGTAAACGTATCATATTGTTTTCGATAACCGTAGGTAATATTATGAAACTTGTTTCTAAATTAAAGAAGGGTTAGTAGTTAACTAAATGCTGATGTCATTTGTTTGATACTGACATCTACAGTATCAACTACGTTTTTACTGAACATGTCAACCGCACTTACCGACAGTTCTGAAGAAGGTGACCTCGTTATTGAAAAGTACTTCGAATGTTCAGTGCCGTGTTTTGGCCTTAGCTATTTAGAGTTTTCTAAAATGTCTAAACCTTATCGTTTATTTTGGTAAAGGTCTATCTATCCAAATTTAAACTCTAGTACATAAGAACAATCGTTTGTTTAGTTTAGTTTTAGTTTAGTCGAGTTTAGTCGAATGTGAATCAATATTTCAAACACACACATTCCGCTACTGCGATAAAATGATGTCCGAGAAAGACAAACAATAAGATTAAATTGAGTTATTTTCACAATAAATAAAATCACAAATTAACAGACATTATATTTATAATATAGACTGCTGCAAGAGCAATGGAAGTCCCTATAGATATTCTGGGTTGGGAATTTACTGTTCTCACCGTAGAAGAGAATGTGATTGTTGAACCTCCAGATGCGGGTGTCTATTGCCGGGGAACGTTCTTAGAAGGAGCAGGTTGGGATAAGAAAAATGCCTGCCTAATTGATCCAGCGCCAATGAAACTTGTTTATCCAATGCCAGTTATACTTTTTAAACCAGCAGAAATCCTTAAGAAGAAAACAAGAGGTAAATATTTGTAGTATGAATTACAAATGTAAAATAATGAATAACTTTCTGCATTATGTCTTATTTCTAGCATCCTTCCACTTCTTTTCGTTTAGATCCTACATCCTTATTGTCATTTGTTACGGATAATTTAGAGAAATACTAATCAATATATTGCTATCATTTGTCTAAAGGTAGCGTTCGTGATTTTTTTGACTTGTCAGTTCAAGATAGTTGTATTATTATAATGTAAATATTTTTGAAACAAATACACCTATACTGTGCTCCGCGAACTAACGAGTACAGCAGCATTGAGTCAACTAGTAACATTCTTAAAAAAGGTTTCAAGGGGTTGCAGAAAACTTACAGAATAGTCAGCTAAATTATTTTATATCGAAAAGCGTTAGCATGTAAATTTTTGCGATGGATGCACATTCGTACAACACATCAAGAGGATAGGCCTATGAATGCGGGCAGAAGTGGAATTGGTATTTATAATCGTCGATGTGAGATGGAGTAGATTTAATAACGATTCATATGGTCAGTATAGCAGCCCGGTTTAGGTCAAAAATTATTTAGGAAAACCACAACAATTTACAATCTTAGGTCAGTACTGGCCATGATTTGGCTATGTGGGTGCAGTCTAAATATTTGAAAACAACGCTAACAGTAATAACACCAACTGTTCTAGAGTGATACAGTGACCTAGTGCCAACGACCGTTTAAACCGTTTTTCTCAAAAGTGGGGAACTTTCGCTGTGTACGCACTAATTGTAAATGTGCTTTGTTAGACCTCTTAGAACTTAGAGGGTACACAGCAAAATTGAAGATGCTAGATGATTGCCACCAGGCCCTCGACACACTAACGATCCAAACCAAGTTAGTCTTTCTTTAGGCCCTAGACCATAGTGGAATGCCAAAAGAAACAAGCATGCAGATCACATTGAAAAGATAGAAGCCCAGCAATATCTCATAGCTCAGAAGCAGAAGCAGCTGTTGGAATTTGAGGCAGCCTTGTCAACTAAGAAAATTCGAGATGGGTTGTTATTAATCAATCTCGATCGTTGACAAAAGTAAATATGGCACCACAGAAAATAACTCTTTCCCCAAACCCAACATACTAGAAGCTTAGCTTGCATATTTTTGATTTAGTCCTAATGAGTTATTTCTTCTAAAGTTGCGTAAAAAGACTAAACAGGGGGCAAATTTATTTAATTTTTAGAAATAAAATATCAATTTTACCCATTGGTGGTAATTTTGAGCGTTTATCAACGTCGAGGTGTAGATTAATAATAATTCGAAATTATTTTATGAGAGGGGGAAGGGGCGGTGAGAATTAGGTCAAAAATACTAAAAGGTTGAGAAACGCTAGTCTAAATGATCCAATGAAAGTACAGAAAAGTTTGGGTCAGGACGAGCGGACCCGTAATAGAACTGATGTCTTTCCGAATGTTCATGATAAGGTATATTCTCGAATTCATGAAAAATTGCGGGTAGACCAATTATTTATCGACATACTATAGGTTTTCTCCTTGACACAGTCTCAAATTAGAAGAGGCAAATAAGCTGGACCGTTTCTCCTAACCATATCAAGTTTGTCATGTTCACTGTATCTACTTGACGACAGTGGGAACCTTCATTTCTTCGATATTGCTTATATCATAATTTATAAACAAATGTGAACTTTCAGTCAGTATCGATCGAATTGTTTCGTGGAACTGTTAATGACGCACACGCAATCTCTAAGGAACACGATAATAATCTAGTCACTGAATCGCGCTGTGCGGTGCAAATGCTATGCTTGCCGCCCCTAACCTACAATTTGTATTTAACATTGCGCTACTGCACTGCATGTGGTATTCCATCCTACTCCTTCAACTACCCCCAGGGTGTTAGCTGAAATATTGAGAAGTTGTCCCCCAAATTTATATTATTATACCAAGTAATAAAAATGTTTTTATCGATAAATCAAGTTCTTGAATTTATCGAATCAACTCCTAAATATCGAAATTTTACACTCTGCAATTTTTTAACTTCTAGACTTTTTTCATTATTAATTATTATTTCACCCAAAAATACACTATTTAATTATTAACTTCCCATTAGGAAGTTATTGTAATTGGGTCGAAAAGTGAAATCGGAATTTTCATTATATTTCCACGTTTTAACATATTAGTAGCATGCTAGCCAATTTTTTTGATGATGTGTGTATGTACGTACGTACGTACGTACGTACGTACGTA